CACAAAGTTTTTCTGGACTTCTTTGAGCACGCTCCAGCCAAGCAGAGAACGGTGAGTGCTGTGACCAGCGACGACAGCGCTCTGATTACTGCCGCTTGCTGTCTAATGTCTGTAGCGGTGTGTCCTTCAGGAGATGATCGAGTCCATCAGAGAGGCGGTCGTGTACATGGCGCACACACACGACGGAGCCAGAGTCACCATGCACTGCTTATGGCACGGCACACCCAAGGTTAGCACTCCTTTAGACACCTTATTTTAGACCGTTCATGATCGCTAGTGTTTGCTGTTAGTGTGACGGGTTTTTGTCTTCTCTGTTTGTCTTTTTTCAGGACCGAAAAGTTGTAGTAAAAACGTTGAAATCATACATTGCAAAGTTTGCAATGGTAAGCTACCTTTCTTATCTGTACAGTCTATGAATGGGTGAATCTCACAGAAGTCTGGATTATAAATAATATATATGCATGTGTGTTTTTATATATATATATAGTATCTGTTACTGCCCAGTTTATTCAGTGAGGATACATTAAGCTGATCAAACATAACAGTAAGTTAACAAAAATCTTTTATATATATATAAAATAAAGATTTTTGATACCACAAAGCAAAGTAGTCTTAATATTACAAAAAGTGTCTTTGTTTTCTTTAAGCAAACTATCATTACTGCTTTCATTAGATTTTCAGCGGGAAATATGACCTAGACATATGATTGACAGATTTCGTGAGATTCACCTAAATAATGCTTTGTAATTTTTCAGTCCATCATATGTTTTAAGGCAGTAAAAATAAGATATATTTATGTATTTTCAGGGTGAATATGCTCATCTTGTACTATTGGCTGCATTCGATTGCATTGATGACACGAAGTTGGTTAAACAAATTATCATCTCAGTAAGTGCTCTTTAGTTTTTCTTTATTAGTTGGTGGTTTGTGTGTTATTTAGCTTGAGCTTGAGAAAGCCAACCTACTGATCTGCTATTTAAGCTTCTTATTCATATGAGACTGACGTTTCTGAATGCTGCTCCTAGAGCTTTCAAGCTAGCACCACCAAACTCAGCCCAGCTCTTCAGACTGATCTGACTCGGGTT